GACTTGGAATCAACATCAGGCAATTATCATACTCACAATAAAAAGTTAATTTATGCAACAATTAAAAAGAATGCACAAGGTGGGTATAAGTGGAAATTGCCATGCTTTCCCCTTCAAAAAGACAAAGTATACCCTGTGTTTGGAAATCCTCACCACAGACTATCAATTATAGAATAAATCTGTAATTACTGTTAATACAACCACCAGCCAGGGTGTAACTGTAAAAGGATGGCATGTCAATAAGTTCACACATGAGTTTAAAACATCCTCCAATCAGACAAAATTAATGTATTACCATAAAGTTGTAATAGTATTCGGTAAAACAGCCTCATCTGCACCTTATTTCCTTCATGTGGAAAATACTATGGCACAGGTGGGGACGGACTTCGGAGTATATCCAAACAGTTTCAATAAATATTACCTTATAGTGTACGGCATTCTTGGCGATAGTATAGATTTAGACCTAAACAAGACATGATTTTCATACAGCATTTGATATTCAGCCCACAAAAGTTGTTTATAATGTAGACCTTAATATTATCTGAAAGAAGATACTAAATATTGCTCTAGATAAGAACCGTAGTAACAGCTCGGCTGCTGTGAAAATGGTCACAGATCTAGAGGCCAAATTGGGCCCTTTTACAAAGAATAATGTTTATAGGGAAAAATTTGAAGAATTTTATTATTTCAGTGATGCTAGTAACTATAAACTGACAACGGGAGTCGCAGGTATCACATTTACAAGTATTAATCCTAACATGACATTTCCCCAAAAAACTATTAGTGATGCTCAGGCAGGAGGATTGAGACTACTAAATCAAACATTGGATTTATCATTATTCAGTAAAAAGAGCTTTACAATATGTGTTGTTATGCAACTGTGGTTGAATAGATCAATGAGTATAAAACGGATATGAGCAATGGAGCTTATGAAAAACCACATTTAATTTATGACCATACAACAAAGAAATTAAAATTACAAACTAATGGTTCTCCTGAAGTTTCTATAACTGTTCCAAACAGTTTCAGCGGTTAACGAGTTGTGTTTTGGCTAACTAAAAATGGTACGGGCTTTGCACCAGTGGTAAAAGCATGAATATCTAATTAATCCTCAACTTTAACACAACAATCAAATTTGACATCCCAAAGTGACTATAAATTCAGAATATTCTCACAAGATGCAGTGATCTATAAAGTAATGCATACCCAAATTTCTACGATTTTGATTCCGAACAATACCACAAAATAATGATACAAGAGAAATTAAACGGCTCATATATCCTGTAAATAGTCTAAACTAAAAGTATAAATGAGTATATTCACCTTCAACCACATTTAAAGAGTAAAACATTGGTAGCAAAATTTGAAAAACAACACGGGAAACCGTGGTTCCTTTCCTTTCCCATCCAAATAGATACTGCATATGCCTCCATCGAAGAAAAACAAGATGGCGGACGCGTCAGTCCGGATAGTACTTCTTGTAGCTGGCCGACACTGAGTAAGATTTATTTCCAGTGATTCAGGGGGATTCTCCCACTTCCTGTCTAAATTCTGAGAATTACCTAAGGCCGGTTAATTCTCCCTTGATTAAAGCGTAAACTCTCTTCCACCAATCTTCATAATACAGTGAAACCTGTATTAAGCGGACACCATATTAAGCGGACACCCTCTATTAAGAGGACAGTAGCCGAAGTTCCCAAATTTATTTCCCTTATTTACTTTAAATGAAACCTTTATTAAGCGGACACCTCTATTAAGCGGACGTGGACACCTAAAAAGTACCTGAAATGGTCACCCAAATTTATTTCCCTTATTTACTTTAAATGAAACCTTTATTAAGCGGACACCTCTATTAAGCGGACGCGGACACCTAAAAAGTACCTGAAATGGTCATTTCTATTGTTGCCAACCTGTATTAAACCGACACTTGTATATAAATTCCGCCAACCAACATGCCAGACACAGGAAATGCGAAAGACTGCCTCGAATTGCCACCCACACAGTTTTCGATTTTTGCATTAAAAAACGTGACTTGACGAACTTATTTGATTAGTTTCAAAGTACAGGATTGTTTTCTATTTGTTTTGTTTGTATAAAGTTTGTTTCACTCATCTGATTTCTTCAAATTTGGGTTGCAATCCATGTTTGTGGTACTATGATCAACTAGTTCACTTTGATAAAGAAACCTCTGGGAGTATTATAAACGCTTCCACTGTTCATTTGAATGGCATTTGACACCTCATATGACGTTATATATATCGGACACTACATCATTCCCCGAGGGTGTCCGCTTAATACAGGTTTCACTGTATTTTGACGTCTTTTTTGACCGCGTGAGAGGAATAAACTTCTGTTCTATTCCTAATATGTGGAATAGCTGCTTTAAAATGAATTTTATACAAACCATCCTTTTCCTGTCCACGTAAATTTGTTTCGCCGCTTCATCAATCAGGGCAACTGTTCTCAGGATCTTTTCTCTATTATAGTAACCAATTTGTAT